GGTCATGGCGCCGTGAAGGTGTATAACGGGCATGGCGGTCATGACGGTTTTTTTTATAAAAAAAAAACCTATTTTTGGGCTTGAAACAGGCCCAAATGGAGTGAGCCCTAGGTTAGTGCTTGTCTCCGCGTCTCATCTCTCTTCTCCCTCACAGTCGCGTCTCTTTGCACCTCAAGAGGAGCTCATGCCCTAAGCATCTCCGGTGACCAACGTTCCCTGAAACGCGACACTTACGGCTCTTACGCAGTACTCCGGCCACCTGAAACGCAGCGACTGCGGCAACCACGAAGTGCGAACAGCACTTACGGAAGTCGAAACTGCCCCTAATCACCTCCGTTCACCACCCCTTCGTCCCCTTTCTGGCCGGCGACCTGAACCGTGGTGGCCCAGTACTCCGGCGAGCAACTCCGGCGAAACTAGGTTTTTGTTTTTTCAGTTTTAATCCTACTGTTTTTCTTTCGAGTTTTAATCTTCCTAAAACCCTTTTTTTTCAGTTTTAAATTTTAATCCAGTTTTAAAACCCCACACCAAATCCCTTCCAGTTTTAAAACTCTTTTTCTTTTTAATATAATATATATATATAACTTTTTTTTTTTTTTTAGTTTTGTCGGCCATGACGTAGGCCACAATGGCATCCGCCATAGAGTTATAAAGAATTCCTGGCTTCACCGCCATAGACCGTTATTCGTCATTGATAACCTTGCTCTATGCATAGATACCCATCATGATCGGAATGTTTCCATTTTGAAATCATTGAACATTTGAACTTACCCAGAACACCCAAGTTTCCAATTTTGTTAAAACAAAATCAAACCAAACTCATTTAATATCTTCAAGAGAGAAAAAAAAAAATCAATACTTAGATATGTGTGTGTACATAAACATAATATTTGTACATAGACACATGCAACTTGTAGGTCTCCTAGTAAGATGAGTTCATGTAAGTTGTAATCAACATATTGAAGGGAAATCAATTCATGCCAGAGGGCTTCTGTAGTGATTAATTTTGTTCATTCATTTGTGTATTTACCCGTGTTTTGCATCTTTGAACATGTCATAATTATACAATCCTGGATTTATGCACAATCAACATCATAGGGTTGAACACCGTAAAATGTTCAAAGTACCTCCAAAATATTCAGCATCTTGGTCATCTGAGCAAACAAGAGAACACGATGATTTTCTGCTCATAAGCGTTTCAATAATATATCAAGTGTTTGAGCTTTCCAGAGTCCTATATTAAAAGAAAATTATGTATATTAGAAGATTTATTCAACATGGAAGTTGAGATAAGAGGGAGCATTTCATGATAAAGAAAGAACAAAACTAAAAGCAAAACTTACGGTGAGCAATTTTGCAGGGTCGAAATTCCGCATAGGTGGAGAAGACCCAAAAATGTTGTGCGTTAATTGAAGACCGGGCTGAGAAACAGGTAGTTCACAATCTATCTCTTGAATTAAATAATGAGGGTCATCTGGCTTTCTAGGCCCATTGTAATCAGATGTACGTGCAAATCCCACAACCAACCTCTTAACCCAGGGATCATGTAATTCTTGGATCATTTTAATTTGGAAGTTTGTTATCAAAATTGATTTTGAATATATCATTATAAATCTAAGTAGATAAAACTTCATAATTGATTTTGTTTGATGGAGAAACTACCAATAGTTTCTTCTAAGTGGATGTAAATTTTCACACCTTGAAACCAATTATGCTAATAGTCGAAAATGTAACAAATGTGATTCTAGTCATTTTGAATGTAATGGAATTCATTCCAGATATGTTTGATGTGGAATCATTGATACTCTTTAAAGTAGAATCTTTTATTTGAGCAGTGAGCACCAATCTATGAAGATGAAAAGAAGAAAATGATCAATGATCAATTATTGTTTTGTTTAAAAAAGAAAAAAAAAATGCCAACTTATTTTGGGAAGAAAAAAAAAATTATGAGCAGATAATAAAGAAAGATAACATACTGGGGGAGCTCTACTTTGTGGGATATATGTGTAAGCAGAGTGAAGAAACCTAGCATTTGAAAATATCCTATCTTGGTGTGGGACAACCAATAGCATTCGTGTAACTGTTCCAACTTTTTCTTTCTCAAGGTAACTATATTCTGGATCATCATCTACAGTCTCCATTAGAAAGTCTACAGCTTCGTCAATGAATTTTTGTTCCCATCTTATCATGGAAAATAACAGTCGCTCCATTAGCCAGAAATCTTCTTATTGTTTTATCCTTCCATATCCTCTTTGATTCTTCTCAAATATCGACCATCAGTTAATCAGTGTCTGTACTACAGTCTAATACCATTAAAAATTTCTCTTTATAACAGCCATTTACTGTGGACCCATTTTGTGTCCATAAAAATTACAACCCCAACAGCTAACATTGTATAAACTAAATCATGCTAAAACTTCAATTGGTGGCCTTCTAAAATGTAATAAGCCAAACTGTATCGGCATTGCAACAAGGTCCCTGAGTGCTGAATGAACTTACATTTTTCATAAAACAATCCTTGTTAATGGATGAGGAAATACCTCATATGATACAGGGTTGTGACCACCAGAATAGTTTAGTTTTTTTTTATTACTATTACTTAGTTTATTATATTAAATGTTATGCTTTCTATTTCTAGTATTTAGTTTTTTTATTATTGCAATTCTTATTTAAAAAACAAATAAAAAGAAACGTTGGGCCTATTGTCCCAATACTGCAACCCAATTTTTACTCTAAGATCGCTATTTTAACCACGTTGATCATGTGAATTAGAGGTCATTTTCTTTTCCATGTTTTTTACTCATATGTTCTATATATAAGAATAACTCAACATTTTAGGTAGGAACATTATTGAGTTTTCACCCCTTTCTGAAGTTACTGTCAACGAACCTAACAACTGTTTTTTGATTTTGGTCGATATTTTAAACAACAGCTTTTGATCTATGGAAGACAAGACGTGGGGATGTTCTTCAAGTGAAGATAGTGATGATGAGGTCTATTTGCAAAATGCAAGTGATGAAGAGGAGCTTCACTTTTCATCTAGTTCTATGCCCAAGTTGCAGTTTAGGTCAAACATCTGTTTACTGTAAATTAGTTACATATCTGTTTCCCCTGCTTAAGTCTGGTTTTCTAAGTGAAGATTTTGCATTTCGTTTGCCAGGAACGTGAAATCCAAAAGCTGTTGGATTGAAGAGATGGGAATGGGAGAAGTCATTGAGAAGAATGGCAAAACGTGGGTAACAACTGGAATCGTTCGCAGTGGCAAGATTTATTCTTCGATTGAGGAGACTTTGTAGGTGATATGCTATCTTTTTAAATATACACATTTTTATGAAATTTGTAAGTAGGGAAGAGTAGCATAATTCTTAAATAATAAACTATGTAAGTAGGCAATACACTTGTTCGTGTTAGAAGATAGTATATCTCGAATTTTTGTAATGTGTTTTGAGAACTTGTGATTATATTAATTAAGGCTGATTTGGCAGGTATCTTATGGAATTAGGAGCCTTGCATCTTTTAGATAAAGGTGGTAGAAACATATCTCTAACAGAAATGTACGAAAAGGTCTCTAACAGGAAGAGTGGATGTTGTTGGGAGCTGTTTGAGGTTTATAGGCATCTCAAGTCTCTTGGCTACATAGTTGGGCGACATGGTGTTGCTTGGAGTTTGAAGAGTATTAAAAGTTCACATAAACCTGTTGACCTTGAAGTTACTGAAGAAAGCAAACTAGTACACATGGGTTCCAAATCTGAGTTTTCCATTAATAAGTTATTTGGTGAGTTGCAGATTAATGATTTGAGGCCAGATTTTGATGTTTATCTTCCGAACAGCAGGTTTAGAAAGTCTTTCCCTGGTGATCCGAGTTTTCTACTGTACTTATCTAGGTAATTACTTCATCACTCATGATATGGTCACTCTAGATTCAGAAATATAATTGGCAAGTGATCTTTATACTGATATCCAGAAATTTATGGAATAATGAATAATCAAGAACATAACTAAGAGGAATTAGGACCACTTACGCACACGGTATGGTTATTCATTTTTCGCACTGATTATTTGATCCTTATGATATAATAGCTATGCAAAATTATTCTTAACTCTAATTTCCTTTTTTTTTTCCTTCATTTTTGTTATCAGTTTATGGAAATCTATTTAATCAGTTATAACATGTATCTTTTGTTAGGGGTCATCCGCCATCTAGAGCGGAAATTGAAGCCCTTGAAAGACAGTGTGATGGCATTCCTTTGAAAATCTGCCTGGTCACAGAGGGAAGGGTCAGTTTCTTTTCCTTTGACAAGGTGCAACTTCCTGTTCTACCCTGAACTTTTGGTAAAAATCCTACATTTCCACTCTGAGTTGAGGTGGAAAGGAAACTAAGGATTGTAACAAGAGAATGGGGTGTTGTAGCTCGTTTGGATCCAATGATATGCAATAAACCTGCTACCTTTTTCTGCAAATGGGCTTAGTGATCACAACCGAAGGCCCAATATTGACTCTTGTCAAACTAATCATGATTCTGATGTGGGAACAAGTTATTGTTGAACGTAACAAGAAACTGAAGCGGTAACTTATGCATCAGTTTATCTAAAGCTATAGATAACAAGAAAAGCTTTCTGTAGGATTGTTGATGTATAATCACCAGAGGACTTGTGATTAGAGGAACAAATAGGATATTGCCTACGTCATTCAATTGAATATTTTAATTAAGGGACAATCTGATCTGCTTTCTCAGTGGTTTTAGAAGTTTTGAAATCTATAATCACTATTGTTCTGTTTTAGTTTGTTATGTAACCTTTGTAAAAGAAATTGGTAAAATATAGATGAATGTCGAATGAGGTTTGCAAAGGTGGTTCCAATTTGCCGTTGTGAGATTGCTGGTGCTTTCTGGTCTGTAGACAATTTACTAGTCCATAACCACGTAGGACACTTTTGTTTGTTTATGCCCCAAATGCCTTTTTACAGTTGTGTGATAGTGAGTTTTTCAAATTATGATTTCTTATTTTAATAAAAATACTTTTAATTTTCGTTAGGAATCTCTGTGGTTACCTTCTCGAAAGGTAAGTATTCCACCGATATGAAATTTTGAGAAGCCCTTAATGATTTTTTTTTTTTAATTTAGTACTATACTTTAATAATGCGCTGATTCATGATTCTGAACGTAGTTAGTTCTGTGCATATGGTTTTACTTCATGCACAAGAACATTTTGGCTTTTCCTGAAAGTTGAGTACGACGTCACGTAAAAAGAAAAGATAAATATTAAATTATTCCAAAAAAAAATTCTAATTTTCATATATATATATATATATAATTAGTTTAAATTTAAATTTCATGATATTAATATATTTTTAAAAAAGTTAAAATATATTTAGTCTTTATAATTTTACGTAATTTACTTTTTAGTTTGTATAGTTTAAAATAGATATTTTAGTCTTTAAACTTGTCTTTTTCTTATGTCTCTATAGTTTTAAGATAATTTTCCCAGTCCTTACACTTGTATTTTTTTTTAATCTTTTTAAGTTTTATTGTTACTTCTTTTATAATATTGTCTCTTTTGTGTTGATATAACTTTTTTGTGTTGATGTGATAGAAGTATTAATTTAATTTTGTGTGTCTAATATTAAATTTATTTTGTTGAAATTACTCTAAATTAGATTTATGAATATTTTGAGGTTTAATTATACCATCACCTAATGTTCATTATTGAAACACCTTTTTTAATTCTTTTAGCATCTAATATTATTTTTTTCATTTATTTGTTTTCTGTTAATGTGGTATGGAATATGGATTAGGGATTAGGGATGGCAATGACGCAAAGCATGTAGAAGCTTCTCTATATTCATTCTTGTCCTCATTTCCATTTGCTATATCCATCTCTGTCCTCATATTGGGATTTGAAATTTGTGTCCACATACTTGTCACATATTAGATATATCCTTACCCATTCTGTTTTCATTCAAAAATTAATTAAATATTATTTTTTTGTAAAAAAATAAAAAATAAGAGTTTTAACATAAAATAATTATTATAAAATTACAATATTTAAATTTTATCTGACAAAAATTAAAAATATAATAAGAAATTACATAAACTTTAAGTAAATTCTAAATAAATTTTAAGTAGATACGAGTACAAGTACATGTATGTATATATTCATCTCCGTACCCGTACTCGCTCGTATCCAATTTAATAAATCGGATATTATCTGTACTCATATATAGTCAAATAAGATATTCTCCGTTAAGGTTGGGATAGGTTCGATCATTATCCACAGATACGGGTTTACTTATCATCCCTATGGATCCTCAATTTTGTGAGTAAAAAATAGGTATCGCAAATGTGAGTATAAAAAAGATACAACAAACAAAGTTGAATTAATACCTATATCATATTAACATAATAAACACATTTAAAAAAATTAATAATAAAAAATAAAAGAATTAAAAAAAATTATAAGTATAAAGATTAAAAAGATCGGTCTTAAACTATAGATTGAAAAAGATAAATATAAAAATTAAAAATAAAGTATGTGAAATTATAGAGATTTAAAAATATTTTAACCTTAAAAAAATTTTGTATAGTTTAAAATAGATATTTTAGTCTTTAAACTTGTCTTTTTCTTATGTCTCTATAGTTTTAAGATAATTTTCCCAGTCCTTACACTTGTATTTTTTTTTAATCTTTTTAAGTTTTATTGTTACTTCTTTTATAATATTGTCTCTTTTGTGTTGATATAACTTTTTTGTGTTGATGTGATAGAAGTATTAATTTAATTTTGTGTGTCTAATATTAAATTTATTTTGTTGAAATTACTCTAAATTAGATTTATGAATATTTTGAGGTTTAATTATACCATCACCTAATGTTCATTATTGAAACACCTTTTTTAATTCTTTTAGCATCTAATATTATTTTTTTCATTTATTTGTTTTCTGTTAATGTGGTATGGAATATGGATTAGGGATTAGGGATGGCAATGACGCAAAGCATGTAGAAGCTTCTCTATATTCATTCTTGTCCTCATTTCCATTTGCTATATCCATCTCTGTCCTCATATTGGGATTTGAAATTTGTGTCCACATACTTGTCACATATTAGATATATCCTTACCCATTCTGTTTTCATTCAAAAATTAATTAAATATTATTTTTTTGTAAAAAAATAAAAAATAAGAGTTTTAACATAAAATAATTATTATAAAATTACAATATTTAAATTTTATCTGACAAAAATTAAAAATATAATAAGAAATTACATAAACTTTAAGTAAATTCTAAATAAATTTTAAGTAGATACGAGTACAAGTACATGTATGTATATATTCATCTCCGTACCCGTACTCGCTCGTATCCAATTTAATAAATCGGATATTATCTGTACTCATATATAGTCAAATAAGATATTCTCCGTTAAGGTTGGGATAGGTTCGATCATTATCCACAGATACGGGTTTACTTATCATCCCTATGGATCCTCAATTTTGTGAGTAAAAAATAGGTATCGCAAATGTGAGTATAAAAAAGATACAACAAACAAAGTTGAATTAATACCTATATCATATTAACATAATAAACACATTTAAAAAAATTAATAATAAAAAATAAAAGAATTAAAAAAAATTATAAGTATAAAGATTAAAAAGATCGGTCTTAAACTATAGATTGAAAAAGATAAATATAAAAATTAAAAATAAAGTATGTGAAATTATAGAGATTTAAAAATATTTTAACCTTAAAAAAATTTATAAAGTTCTTGATGGTCAATGGCGTCTAAATTCTGTTGATTCTTATCTTGAAATCTTTGTGTTGTTGAAAGTTGCAGGAATATGTTTATAAAATTTCACTATAATAATATGTACTAAAAAAAAACTGACTAAATTATAGAAATTTATTTGTAATTTTTATAAATAAAACAATGTTGAAAATCTTTAAAATTATAACGAGGTATTTCAAAATTCAGACAAACTACAGATACTTGCATAATTGCGTGAATGGAAAAATAACGCCTAACTAAATTTATGAAATGGCAGGAATGGTAAGAAGGAAAAATAAATAATTTAATCAATGACAAATATTTTTAGACATGACTTTTAAAATAAATATAAAAATTCAACACTATATTTCAATTAAATTTAAACAATATCAAACAAGAAAAATGTACTCTAAGCATATAACGTGCTAAAAATTTTGTGTAGATTAATTCAATCTATCTGTACTTGACAAAATTAGTTTTAGTACTAATGTTTTCCCATTATACAAAACTTTGTTGAAAATTATATCAAGTTCCGTTTAACTTCATATAATGTAATGAACCATGCAAAGATCTGGAACAAAGGTTTGTTAGTGCTACATTTGAATTCAAATTATACCTACTAAAGTAAGATGTGCATGGTTTACAATCTATAACGTTAAGCAATAATTAAGGGACAAATTGTATTTATTTTTTACTTGGAAATATGGATTCATACCAAGCGAAAATAGATGATTTAATATGCATGTGTCAATTTTATTAAAAGCACTTGTGTAGTCATTTTTGCATATAGATGTTCTTATTGACTTCGTGACTTGGGTTTTGCAATGTATTGCATTAGCAGTTGCATTTCTCATGTGAGCAATGGACGTGATACAATATTTTTCACATGGTTTCTACTAAAAAATTGTGCTTATTTATTAATTTATTTTCAAGTGTATTCCGGGTGAAATCCACTTTCTAAAACAGAACACATTTGATGGTATACGTGAATCAAGAGGATGTGATAACGAGATGCTATATACACACATTTTTTTTCCCTGGTTTTTCTTTGAATAAAACAAACAAATAAATAAATATCAATCAATAATTTATACATTCATTTAATGTTTTAAAAGGATAATTGATTTAAAGTGTTGTTGGAGTGTTAGAAAAACTTGATTAAAAATTTATTGAATAAGTGATTATCATATAAATACTTATATATAAATTGTTTCCATAATAAAAATGAAAAAAAAAAAAAGTTATCATGTGTGCTCAGTAAATTTAGTACATAAGTTAGTTCAAAGCTTGTTAGCTCTTCCTCCGAATTCAATTATAAATAAAATTAATTAATCTATGCATTGATTAGAAAAGTTTGTTACCATCATTTTTGTTCATCTCAATTAAAAGTAATTTTTTTCGTTATAGAGTCTTTTATTGGAATTTGAAATCAAGAATAAAAAATTGTCACAAAAAATATAATCTCAACTAAATAAAAAAGATTGCGAGATAATATCACTAAATAAGGTAAAGTTAATAAAATTTACTTATATTTTGGATTACCGTTCATGAGATTTTATTTTATTTTATTTGAGTCTTGAAAAATAAAAGTTAAAAGAATTTTTAATGGGAATTATTTACGAGTTAGTTAATAATAAAATATTATTTCATCGTACCACATGTGATTTAAGGTTGTTTAAAATTAGAGAGAATTGCTCAAATAAGCAATTATTTCTTATGAATTACATAACATCATGTGTACATATAAAAGAAAAATATGAGACATTGAAGAGGAAGAAAGGATATTTGCGAGTTAATCAATTCATTTATAGAAACTTTCATTGAATTGAAAATTTGAGGGAGTTGTTTAAAGTAAAGTAACATGTATGGGTTCACTTAAAATTAAAAAAAGTAAAATAGTTTGCTATTATTTGAAGATCATTGGAGATACCGAAAGCGTTAAAACCTTAAACTTAAGCTAATTGATTAAATTCAAAGTATTTTGGTAAGAATAGTGTATAAATTAAATTATAAATGTAAAATGACATATATTTAATTATTTAAGGTAAAAAAAAATTCAAATAAAATAGTGAACATAAAAATGGAGAAAAATAATACTTATAAGCTAACTTGTTTTCATAAATTAGTTAAAGTGACTTATGAAAATAAACTAGAAATAACTAACATAAGTTTGTGTGCCAAATAATGAAAATAACTATGAATAACTAATATAAGTTTGTATCAAATAAGCTATGTATGTTTCTCCAATACTTATCAAATAAGAAATTATTTTAATAGATAGTTCAAAACCATTAAGTTTTCATGATCTTAATTAACCAATTTTTATGCAGTATATGTATTTAAAATTAATTTTTAATTTATGAAAAAAATTAATAACACTTAATTACATGTCATGACTAATTAGACATCATGTTATTCAAAATAACTTAATAATTTTTCCTTGATTAACACACTCAAATTATTTTAAATATAATTAACATAAGTCATGTCTTGTAAATGTAAGTTAATTTTTGCTTGTTCAACTCTAAAATTTTGTGTGTACTATATCCAAAAAAAAAATCCTAAAGAAAACTTTGTTTTTTATTCATATACATGATATACACAATGTCTCAAAATTAATAATCATACACTTGAGATGTGATTTTTCCTAAACAAACATTATTTAACATGAAAATTGGACTTGAAAATAACAAGTTAATCTCGGTGTCTTAAAATAGAACTTACACCTTGAAGATATATCATTAAATTATTTGATCAACTATTACATATACTTACACAAACAAGTTCTACCAAATACATTTTTCAAATCTAAAAATAAACATGATCATATTCTATAAATGTAACTTGGTTGTCTATACAAATATTGACACCAAGAAACACCATCTAATTAGAATTTTATCTTTACATTCATTTAATTTAGTCTAAATGCTTCATCCAAGCATCCACTACCACTATATTTATATTATTATTATTATTATTATAACATAGTCTGAATTATAAACAAAATTAGATTTAGACCAAACTATCTAGTCACGTGTGCAATGAAATCATCAAACTCGACGCGAGAAACACCTCCTTCATCTGCAGCCTCGTGAATGGCGTTTTTGAGCTTCAATGCTCTTTCTCTCATCTCATCACCTTCCTCCGTCGTCATCAACCTCCTCACGGCATTCTCCAGTTCAAGCATTGTCACCAACTCATCTCTGTGTTCCCACTCCTTCACAACAATCCCAACCTTAAGCACATCGGTCACCAAAACCCTGTTCCTGGGTTGGTCAGAGTGCATAGGCCATGCTGCTATTGGCACCCCCATGCTTATGCTCTCCATGCAAGAGTTCCACCCACAGTGACTCATGAAACCCCCGGTTGAAGGGTGTGCCAAAATCTCCAATTGGGGTGCCCAGTCCCTCACAACTAAACCCACCCCCTTCACTCTCTCTTCAAACCCCTTAGGAATTTTAGCAACTCCACCACCCTCATCGTTGTTAAACACATCACCCTTGTCAGCATCCCTCACCACCCACAAAAACTTCACCTTACTATTCTCCAACCCACTTGCAACCTCTTTGATTTGTTCCTCGCTAAAGCATGTTGTTGTCCCAAAGGAAACATAAAGGACGGATCTTTCCTCTTGCTTGTCAAGCCACTCCATGGCGGGGTGGTGGTGGCTTCCGGTGTTTTGCATTGACAAAGGGTTGAAGGGCCCCAAGGCCCAATGGGCCTTGGTGGTAATGATCCTCTCTATTAGCTCCATGTAGGGCCTCTCAATCGCCCTAGTAGTGTTGTATATGGTACCCTTACTAAGCTTGTGGAACTCGTACTGCGAGGACACAAAGTGAATAAACTCGGTGGTGAAGCAGCCTTCAAGAGAAGGAACCTGAGGGATGATGGTGTTGGTGTCGTTTTGTTTAACCTGTAAGACAAGGAAGAAGAGATGTTGAAGTTGATGAAAATAGAAGTTGAAGGTAGTATGATATGATTGAAAGAGGGGAGGAGAGTACCTGGGGTCGTCCCATAGTGTCCCAGAAGTAGAAGAACATGGTGAAGGCGGAGACACTGTGGAAGGTGTAGGTTTCGCAGTTGGGGAGGTGGATGACGTCTTGGACGACGGAGGCCATCAAGGAGTCAGGCGGAGCCCACGAAGTGGACGGGGATGTTGCGGGAGAGGAGGAGGCGGGAGAGGTGGAGGAGCTGGTTGAGGTGGCCCTGGGCGGGGAAGGGGACCACCACCGCCACCACTTGCTGGCTGCTGGAGGGACTGTGAAACGTCGTCGTGTTGTTGTCGTGGGGTGTTTTGTAGGTGGAGGACATGGGATGGGGTGTTTCGTAGCTGGAACTGAAAGCCATAGGGCAGGTAGGTGATTCACTAGGTAGGTGTGTGCTGTCATGTGTCTTCGCTATTTATAGGAAATCAATGTTGTTTTGGACACCCTCTCATTCTCATATGCAATGCAAATTAATTTTTTCTTTTTTCTTTTTCACGTAGCGATGGTGACACGCACCCATCACCCATGTCCTCCTCTCTCCTTCAATACCGCTTTACGCTTTTCTTTTCTTTCTCAAAACCACTCTCCCAGTTGAATATTCTGCCAACTTTTCATGGCCTCGTGTTTCACTTTGCGTCCATTACCACCGACATGGCGCATGAGTTTTCAGAAAAGAGAAGGCATTCCCCGAATATATATATATCACATACTGTAATAGTGATCACGTTGGCGTGGAAGTTAAGGTGATGCATGTATGCCTGTATCTGACTCATCATTAATTAATTTGTCCCAATCCCAAGGGGTAGTTGTACTTCTCAGAGGAACCCCACCTCGGTGTTGGAATTTTACATTAATTTCGTTTCTATCTTTTTCATCCTTCGCTATTGCATTTAATCACATGGAAAGATACCTTTACACAACGCTGTTAGTTGTGACTAAGTCCCATGTGCTACCTTCCTCATCAGGCAAGGAAGAAGAGATCATAAACATTTCTTTGAATTTTGTTTCTAAATTTCATTTTTTATAATGATAAGGATGTTTTTTTTTTCATAATGATAAGGATGTTGTCGTGGACCACTTATAAAGATCATTTATGATGTATTTTTTAAGTGATTGTTGGGCTTAATTATTCTCACTTGTGTAATAAAATAGTAGTATATTTATATTCTTATTTTTAAAATTTAAATTAAAATAACTATTTGTTTCTTTGTATAAGATTTAATAATTTTTATTGTTTTATCTAATAATTATTTTTAGATTAAAATATGTTCTTTTAATTTGGTGTAATGTGTTAATATATACAATTTAAAAGACATGTGTTTTAATTGATAATTGGAAATACAAAAATTAATTAAGAGAGATAAGTATTATAGAATAATCACTTTAATTGGTTAAGAGATATGAATATTAATAAAGAAAAGTGTAAGGATAATTTTGGCACAAAAATAAGTGTTTTTGCTCATCTTCTACCTATTTTAATTTTGTATTAACTTGATTGAATTACATTAAATATTCTTGATTGAAGTATGTGTTAAGTATCTTCTATGATTTTTTTAACAAGAAATCCCCTTATCTATTGATATGATTATAGGAAAAAGTTTAATATTTCCTCCAAAATACGATGACTTCATCCATTTTTAATGTTTATTTGGTGTCACTTCATTAAAATTTATATACCGATGCCGTGTAAGTTTTTATTTTGCGCAAGTCGAAAAATAGTTTTAGACTTTTAGTCTACATCAATTTTATGAAGGATTTTTCAAGTCGATGGTTACGCAAGCATGAGAGTTGTAACAAATAATTTTCATTTACGTACTTGGTAATAACATAAAATCTATATATATTTTAAAATTAATTTTAAAAAATACCTAAACATAATATATAATTATATTCTGTATTCAAATAGTTCAGCACTTGTGCTTCTTAATTAAGGATTGGAACATGATTACTGTCTTAAAAATGAAATCATGACAAAAAAAAATATATATCACTTTGTTCAAATAAGAGTTGACTTAATAGAGAGAAAATATATGTCATTCACTAAAATAAATAAATAAATATATAGTTTAGACGGTTAAAATTAGCCATATTATATAAATATGAGGGTTTTTTTTTATAAATATTCCATACACGGTATTCTTTTGCAATTAAATTGTTCATGGAGCCCTAATTACATGATATTTATCTTATGAAAAATGCTAGCCAACGCTCTTAATATATTGATTAAAGAAACAAATTAAAAAATAAGTTATTAAAAACTGTATTTTCATATTCTCATGTTCATTGCATGTTATATCATGAGTTTTCGTGCTCATTAATTCATTTTGAATCTCATGTCCTCATGCACATTGCACGTTCTATCTTAAATCCCCGAGTCCACTACATTTTACATTTTGGATTTCTAAGTTTATCACTTTTATTATTTTGCTCCCCGCATTAATTGAGTTTATGATTTTTGTTCCTCGTGCCAAATGAGTTTACATTCTGTGCCAATAAAGTTCTCGTATCAGTCAAGTTCGTGTTTCTAGTCCCTACGCTAATTAATTAAGTTTATATTTTGGTCCTCACATCAATCAAGTTTTATATTTTTGGTTCATACACTTATAAAATTTATGTTTATGGTCCTTGTACCAATCAGTTTACACTTTTAGTCCCTATACCAGTCAATAGGCTTGAACATCGGTTTGTCACGGTCGGTTTCGGACCAAAATTCTTAAAATCGTCCGAAACCGATTAAGAAAAATCAGGGACTATCTCTGATCGACGAAGAACTCGGGTTTTGGCGGGTACCGGTTCATCGGATGGGTTCATCGGTTTGAAAAGCTTCCTCTAGCGTCTCGTGCTACCATTCATCGTCACTCTTCGCTGATTTCCGCCACTGCTTCATTGGAGGAAATCATGGAGTTTTAGATCTTCGCATCACCACCTTCGTCAACCAGAGTAGGGAACAGAGAGCTTCTCAGCGGCGATGGCCATCCCAGGCCTACTAGTCAATTTATGTTTCTAATTCTTGTGCCAATCAAGTTTGTATTTTTGTTCCTCGTGCCAATTAAGTTTTAAGTTTTCGATCCCTATGCCAATTAAGCTATGTTATTAGTCATTACGTCAAACAATCAAGTTTTGTTTTTGGTCCCTACCGTGAATCAAGTTTATATTTCTAATCTCCATGTCAATCAAGTTATATGTTTCTAGTGTCATGCCAAATTGCCAATCAAGTTTTACATTTCTGATCCTTGTGTCAATCAAGTTATGTTTATGATCTTTATGATCTTACACCTATCACATTTATGCTTTGGGTCCCAATACTTAGTGTTTTTAATCTCAAAGAAAATTAGTTATGTCCTTTGTATCACCTTGCATTTTCTAATTAAATTAACTAAATATTTTTTTATTATCAAATTAAAGGTTTTGATTTTATAAAGCATTTTTACATTAAATTTAAATGTTTTATTTTTTTAATTAATTATATAAGGATCATAATTTAATATAATGTTTTATTTTTTTAGTAATAGTAGTAATAGAGAGGAACTTGTGAATATATGTAATTAATTTTGGTGATGAGATGAGTTTTGAGGTCTAAAAGGTAAAAATTTGCACAATCAGATTTTGTCATGAGTGTTATCGATGAATCATGATTGTGACTAGTCGGTCAGTCATTAGTGTGATTAATGAGTTACCAACATGATTGACCTTGACTAGTGAATTACAATTGTAACTTATTTGGAACTTAATCCTTTAAATTTCATTGAGTCAATCATAAACCAATGTCATGACTGAGATTTATGAATCATAATCTTTCTTGCCGATGTCCCTGTTTCTCATTATTTTTTTTTTTTGTATTTTCTTCTAAATTTTTAAAATCAAAATTATTTAATGTATATAAAAATATCATTAGCGGTCAAAAATACTGATTTTAGATTTTTAAAAGGATGAATTTTTTTTTTTTTTGCATGGATCAAAACCAAAATTTATTTATTTTACAAACACCAAAATATTTTATAAAGACAAAAACATTGGTTAAAAATTTAAAAAGATAAAAAAAAACAAAAATTAAAATTAAAATTACTCATTTTACAAATACTAAAAACATGTTTAACAAATAAAAGATTTTGGTTTGAAATTTTTGAACTCAATCGCATCACTGTCATGTTTTAATTTTATCAAGTTTGATAATTGACGGAAACGTTTTATAATTTTAGTTTACTTGAATATTATTAAATGAATTATATATTAAGTTATTGATTAAATTTTAATATATAAAAATTAATAAATAAGTGAGAAATTAAATTAAGAATCAAGTTATATTTTAGATAAATATACATATATTTTAATTTATAAACTAATTATTGTAATTAAAATTATGAATTTATATTTTAATATTAATAAAATAAAAATTAAATACTAACATTACAAAAAATATTACATACAGCAACATACAAAAAATGTCACTATAACAATATATGTAAATATATCTATTTGAAATATAGCTACACATAATTTAAATGTTAATTTTAAATGTGATATAACAATATATTTTGTATGTCACTATAGTTTATATTAACATTATTTAAAAAATATACTAATATATATTGTATTTAATATGTAGGTAAAAGTACTTTTTAGTGACACGCACTATAAGATATATATCACTATACGACATTTTTTTTTTGCAGTATAATTGAAATTATTAATTTAGTTTATTACATATTATTTAAGATTTGTAAATCATAAAGTTTAGTCTTTGTTACTATGATGGTTGACATATATTCAATTTTCATGTATGATTAGTAATTCTCCATTTTTTTTTCTCTGCATTACCAACTATAAAGTTCTCCATTTTTTTTTTCCAAATAGTTTTATATAATCTTTTCTACAGTGGTATAAATTTTAGTACACTATATGAAAATTGGCAGCAAATCAAATAAGGAATAAAATAAATAAGAAATAGTAGTATCTCTTTTTTTTCTTTTTTTCTTCCTTTTACCTTGTCATCCAATAGAATCAAATTCTTGTTATTGAAATCACAATTCAATCACAATTGGAAGACTCGATCTAAAATTTTAGGTAAAAATACATTTTTTATTTTTTATATTATTTATTAGTGTCAATTTAGTCTCACATTAATTATTTGAATTATTTTAGT